CTGTCAACCCATGGAACAATGTAAGCTCAACGGCAGATTGAAATTGGACCAATCCAATTATCACAATTATATTTCGTAATTGAATTATAAATTTTTTTTTACGAATTTTTTTCTATATATATATATATATATGGTTACAACCTTAACTTAAAATATTGAATTACAGATGCATTCCAAAAATCTATTTGACAAGGTTGTTTTAATGTTGAAAAAACCTCTAATTGATCATCTCAATATCGAGATATATGAATATGAAAAAAAAAAAAGATTTTGAATCCTAAAAATAATGCATCTTGCAATACATCATCTAGACCGTCCATTTTCTAGATTTTCATATGTTTATAGATGTACTAGATTTGAACCATATTTGGAGTTTAAAATTTTATAATTAGATATGAAAATAGATTTTGAAATAATCCTAAGAAGTTTTTTCACCAAAGTTACATGTAACGATAAAATTTGGAGGTGCGCTTTAATTGGATTGTTTAAGGTTGCAACCCTATAGAAGCCACAACCATATATATATATATATTTATATATATGATTCCCCTTATCCAACCGTCCATTCTGAATGGAGGGCTAAGATTGCCCCAATCACAGTGTCACATCTCTACAATATTTTGTTTTTAATTTTTTTCTACAAACTATTTTAACACCAAATTTTGTACATTCAATCCTCTATTAAACTCGTACTAGTAAAAAATATAAAAAAATATTTCCAATAAAATAAAATAACCAAAATACCCTTGAAAGTTTCAAGGGGTATTTTGGTCATCATATTTTATCAAAAAATTATTTTTAATGTTTTTTATAGGTGCGCCTCAATGAGAAAATGACACATAACAAATTTTATATTTATATAACTTTTATAAAAAAACTAAAAATAAAATACTTTGAAACATCGAATCTAAAATCAAACGGTAAGTAGCTCTCTTAATCAAAAGTGAAGAGCTGGATGGTAGGGGAAGCATAAATCTTCTATGCTGTAGGAGAAGTATAAAAACTTTTCCTTGATATATATATATATAGAAAAGTCTTCCATATAGGCGAAAATAAACAGTGATTTCGCCTATGCTCATTGCCGTCCAGAGTTTCATCGAACGATCATGATTGTTTAGTAGTATTTCAATTTTTTATTTTTTTTTATAAATCAGAATTATCTGAAATTTGGAACATGTGTACATCTTAGTAAGACATACCTAATAAAAATATGAAAAAAAATATTTCACAAAATATAAATTGATCAAAATACCCTTGAAAATTTTTAAAAGTATTTTGATCAATTTATATTTTACAAATTATTATTTTTATATTTTTATTAGATTCTCTTATTTTTGATGAATACAAGCTTCAAATTTCAGATCATTCTGATTTGTAGAAAAAAAAAAAGAAAAATGAAACGTTACCGGACAACTGTGACCGTGCGATGAACTTTAAATAACGATGAGCATAGGCAAAATCACTGTTCATTTTCACCTATAGACGTTGCGTAGTGCTTTCCTATATATATATATATATATATACATGTGTGTTCATTTTTTTTTTGTGTACGGATGTATAACTGTGTGTGTATTTTTTATGTGCACAGATGTGTAATGTGTATGTGCGTACATGTATTCGGAGTCAAGTTGGGTCTAGGTTGGGTCGACCTAGACCTAGACCCAACCTGGATCCAGGTGGTTTGGACCTAGATCCGGACCAAGATTGGGTCTACGTGAACCGATTACCACCCCTAACTCTAACTTCACACCATGTGCAAGATGCAAAAAAAAAAGAGCCATGAGTTATGCCATGAGAAAAGTGCACATGAAAACATAGTCCCAGGTCAAAACTCAACTTTTATGTGGCAGCCCAAAAGGTCGGGGTGCTCACTTGGCACACCACTGTTCACAGGCTGGTGCATCACCATACAAGGTTGCACTTCAAGAATCATAGGGACAACGGAAAATAACCATGTAATAACAACTTTTACTGGCTACTGATAGCCACTACATCACTACTCACAGGTTCAACTTTAGGAATAAAAAAACTGCTTAGCAATTAAATAAAAAGAATTTAAAAAAACACCTCTACTGCTCACCAATATTAATAAAAGAAAATAGCCACTCTTACGGCTATGAGCAAAAAAAGTGGATATTGTTCCAGGTATTTATATTGAATGCCAAATTTCATGATTTTCATACAATACAAGACTGGAATATGGCACTCGGTACATCCAAAGGAGCCCTAGTGAATACTAACTTCTTAGCCACCTACCCAGTGTTAATAACAATTCATAACCCCACTTCTATCTGCTTGGTTCTTTAATGAAAGGATTCGCAGCTATATGAGTTACGCTTTTGTTATCGCAAAACATGCTGATCAGAGATGATAAGGATGAGATCAGACAAAAGTGACTTTATCCAGGTGAACTTGCTTGCTGTTGAGGCCATAGCTCTGTACTAAGCTTCTGCACTCAATCTTGTGACAAAGGCTCCAACATACATGTTCCATCAATCATTGCCACCACGCATTCATCAGGATAAGACTGCATGCCCTTGCAAAGGTTTTTAGCTCTAAGGGAGCTAGACAAAATTATAATAGGTTGAAAAAGAGAAAAATACAAGAGTAATTACTATTATCAAGATGGAAGGCTTTCAATGTGTTGCATCACAAGCATCATCATGTGCAAGTAAAGTTAAAGAACAAGACCTAGATAAATGATTAACACGCCTGTATATATAAAACATTGACAATCCGTCTGATTCAGATATGTAGATGCAGTATTAGATAATGAGAAAATCAGTGACAAAAAATGACATTTGGGAACTGGTAGAAATCCACGAAGAAGAAAACAACCAATGGGATGTAAATACCCATATAAATAAAATGGATATTTTTATGACTAACTCCATGAAAAACTCCTTTCAGGAAGAGAGCTTGTATGCCCATCCATCTCTTTTTGTGTGTGTGTGTGTGAGAGAGAGAGAGGAAACAGTTTCAAAGGCATACATAATCTTCTTCACATCAAAAGACAGACCAACAAATCTTTACATCTGGAACAGATAAAATGCAATGAACAAATCTTCGAATTCAAGAAAAACTAAGTGAACAAAGTGTATGCAAATTCAAGTATCGAAACCAGCACAATGGGACGAAATGAAAGCAACTGATTTAAGCTAGAAATTAAAACTTTAAGCTCAGGTTTGAGCCAGACAGAACCAAACCATTAACACAAACATGTGAAATAGGCCTCAGATTAGCATAAAGGCACATTCTTCCTTACCTTCTACAAGCCGGGTAGCAGAACTACCTCGGTGCGCAATTCCTGTAGAGGTTCATGCCTTCTGTTTGTCATCATAGGCAATAAGTTCATACATCTCGATGTCAAGATGATCAATTAGACGTTTTATCAACATTAAAAAGAACATTTTCCGATGTAGTTTTGAGGTGCATTTGTAATTCTACATTTTAAGGTTGCAATCTTATAAACTTTTTTCATAAAAATATCTTTTCTAAAAAACCATTAGCTACTTTTACTCCCCTAAATAATTTGTGACTTAATTCTTCCAACTTTAATTGATGGGTTAAAATAGATCATACATAAAAGAAATCAATTTATAAAATCACAAAGCTATATTTAAGGCAGAGAGAGAGAGAGAGAGAGAGAGAGAGAGATTCTATAGTAGATATTGCATGGACTAACGATAATAAAAAAGGGTGAGATTTGTATAAGGTGTCAACCTTAAACTATTGAAGTAAAATGTGCCTCAAAACTAAGCCTGCATTTCAAAACGTGCCTCAAAACCATGACAAAAAAGCAGTTTTGGTGCCACAAAGCCTTGCAATGACATGAAAATACATTGTTATCCCCAATTCTGAAATTTAAAGTTCTAGAAAAATGATGACGATCAGGCAGATCTATAAACACTTGGAAATGGACGGTCAAGATAATATGTTAGAAGATGAACTATTTTCGAACTAGAAATCCCCCCCACCTTTTTTTCTCATGTCTATGAATCTCGAGATCGAGATGATCGATTTGAGAGTTTTCCAGCATAGGAGTAACTTTCACTAGTGTTTTTAAATGCACCTTGCCCTTACAGTACAGGGTTGAGACCTTATATAACTTTTTTCCTAAAAAAAACTAAAAACTAGAAAAAAAAGAAGGGTGTGGTTTGTATAGGGCCGAGGCTCTAAACAATCAAAGTGAAGTGCACATTCAAATAGTGTCCAAATAGTATCGAGAAATGTGGTTTCAGTACTAGAAATCTTTGTGATAGCCTTAAAATATATTTTCATTTTTAATTATAAAATTTAAAGCCAAAAAAGTAGTACAGATCGAGCAGATCTGTGAAAACTTGAAAATCTTGAAAATTGACTGTCCAAAAAGCGGTAGATGGACTATTTCCAAAACTTGAAATCCATTTTTTTCTCATGTCTTGATGTCGAATCTTGATGGCGAGATGATCAATTTGAGGATATTTGGACATCAAAACAGATATTTGGGCATCAAAACAACCTCTTCCAGTGAAATTTTTGCGGTGGGAAATGTTTAAGGTGGGCTCTAATTTGATTGTTTAGGGCGTCGCTCTATATAAACTTTTTCCAAAAAAGAATACTAAAAAAAAATCAGTATCAGTCATGATAAAAACAAAGATACTCATTAGAGAATTTCTCGACAGAAAAAAACTAATGAAATTAAAAGGATTTCAATTTCCGTACCGAAGCAAAACCAACAAACGAACATCGTACACTACATCCAGCAGGAACTTGAATATTACAAATTTGGGAAAGAGTTACAGGGGAAAAAGATTAGGGTGAGGCTTAGGAACAGTTGCACCCATCAAAAAGCTCATCAACAGTTTTTCAAATTCGCAAGTTTTAATGTTTGTTGCCAAAAGAATACAAAAGGAACAAGCCCAAATCTTTCAAAATCCATAACCAATACCCCATTTTCAATACTAAAGCTGAACTGAAATACCAACACAATATATACGAGGCATATAAAAATTCTCCTCTGGAATTGGTACTCCATTAATATGGAATATTTTTTCAAACAATCCTTCAATTACTAGGAAAGCAGAGAGAGAGAGAGAAAAAAAATCTCATTTATACAGAGCACAAGCATGTTGAAATGAATGTAAGCCAACGGTCTGAATTCAAATTAAAGCACGTCAAGAGAACAGCAGGAAAATATTGAAGTGCATTGGTGATAAATTTTTGAGCTACTCACCTTATTGAAACTCAATGAAAGAAAAACCACCACGCCAGAGAGGAGAACCAAGATTTCTAGGGTTCTTGCTTCAGGGTTTCTAGGGTTTACTCTGGCCTGTGGACACTTAAGCTCCGTAGCGGATGATTTAAAAGTGGTCCTTACATGTTTCAGAAATATCCATAATATCCTCAGTTCATGTGAGCAATGATCAAGATTTCAAACTCCCAAGGAGCATACTGTTTATTTACTCGATAGGGTAAATTTCAGAATAGTACGTTTTTAGACCCAAAAATTTGAGGACTTATCCTATTTAACATAGCACCAAACTTTGGAAAAAATCAAACGAATGAAAAAACAATAGCCTCAAATTTAAATAACCTTTCTTGAAAAAATAATCATATGATAATTCTTAAGTTGATCTACAGATGCAGAGGTTTTCAACCAAAAGGAGGCCCTTGCAACATGTGCTAACAAGCTCTCACATATTACTCAATGAGAGTGTCGTATAAACACTCCAATAAGGACATGTCATTTCATGCCTACTTGAGGCTTTTAGCCTTTGGTCGTGCATAAATTTACTCTAAGCTCGCATCCGCATTTTATATACAATATATAAAAGGTGCGGTCTGTATAAATATGCAATCTAACTTGTAAAAGTAAAGTGACAATGTTCTACATTATCTATTTTAGTAAGATAGTATCAATTTGATATGTCTTTCAAGACAGTATTAAAAATGTGGTATATTTTTTTTAAAAATATGTCATCTATATGGTTCAAATAAAATGATGATATACTTGTATTTCTACAAATAAAATTACATCCTTATATAAACATTGTCCATATAAAAATCCTAATTTACAAAGATGAAAGATTCGTTGCTCTCATAAACATATAACCCAAGTGCAAAGACCGAAAAAAAGGTCATAAGAGTGTTAATTGTTGAGCCAAATCTATGCATAGTACGGTGTTATGGGCAATGGTGTCATTGTCTAATGGAAAAATGTATAATAAATTATTTATTTTTGGTACAAAGAGGTCTCAATTAATAATTAGATGTGAAATCCGGTGGTTGGGGATATGTGTCACTTAAAGAGTGCCCGTGTTTGCGTGTTGCATGACTCAATTGCTTGGATAAAAAAGCCGGTAACCAGATGCACACAATTAAATAGAAAATCTTTTATTGCTGAAAATAAAGCAAATGCAAAGTGGGGATGTTCGCTTCTGATTCCGGTAGAACCGACCCTCTTAAAACTCCGATTTATAGAATACTTGAGATGCCCCTACTCTTTAGGATGAGCGACGGTATCGAACCTGACGAGGGCAACCCTCAAGCCGGCTGAAGAATGTCACTTCCCAAAGCAACCATGATATACTCAGGACTTGCCTAACCCTCACACACTCTGTGGCTAGGGAATAGAAGTAAAAAGTTATGAAGTTTGTGGTGTTTGGAAGTTTTAAGCTTTTTAGGGGAATTTTTTTTTTTTGGATTTTGGGCTTCATAAGGATGAAGACTAAGAATAAGAGGTTCTTAACAAGTTTTGGGTTCTGTTGGCACTTGAAGGGTATTTTGAAGTTTTTAAAAAGATGTGAGGATAATTTGGGTTGTATGATAGAGGTTTAGGGGTAATTTGAGAAATTGGGTATATTTACTCTCTCTTAAGTTGGCTCTTAATCTTAACCCTTAATATAGAGGATTAATACAACTTTTATAGACATGAAAAAATATGGGTGGAATATTAAAATTGGGGGGGTGGAAAATGAAAAAATATGAAAGAAAGGTGGACAATTAAAATTAAAACGGGGCTAGGGATGAAAATGGAAAAAAATGATGCCCAAACCTTAGAATTTTCAATGACGTACTGTTGAGGGAGCTTCTTTCTTCATTCACTGAAACCCATCAAATCGGATTGTTTTTTTTATCATTTTAGCTCAAATTTCTTCCACAAAATTGTAGAGCAATCAATCATGATCATTTTGCAATGATTTTGAATAAAATATGTCGATTCGTCAAGTGTCCCTAATTTTGAGTTTCGATTTTCCATTTTCAATAAAAATTGCAAGCCCATTTCTACACCTCGTCATTGTGCTCAAATATGGCTGCTATTTGATGATCCAGTAGATTCTTATTGAAGAAACCAAGATTGATGTTTAATGAAAATTTTAGCTCAAGATGATGCCGGATTGGAGAGATAATGACTCTTTTATTTTAAAATATTTTTGATAATTGGTCTTATAAGTTTGAGTTTTGTTGGGCTATACTATTCGGTAGTGTAACACCTTAGGGTCCTCAACATTTTTGGATACTTAGATACCCTTATTCAATAGTGTAGTAACTTTTTGTCGTATTTTATATAAGGGTTTTGTTAAGCTACACCACGTTTAGTGTAAAGCCTTATCCTGCACAAAAAAAGTTGACCAAAATTATACAAAACATCAAATAATTTATATATTTGTGAGGGCATTTTAGTCATTTATATTCATTAAGATTTTAAGTTGAAAACTTTCCCCCAAATCTCTCTCCAAGAGAGTCGTGGTTCCCAATTTGCCATTCGCTCTGCATCTTTGAGATGAGAGATGTAGAGAATTGGAGTGTCCATCCCATATGGAGTGTGTATGCCCCGCAAGCATTGTCCACGACCTTTGCCCACACCCCATTTGTAATGGGCCTGCAATACTAGACTAGAGGGCTGAAAGCCATATCTCTATATCTCTCTCTAGATAATCTATTTGTTTCTCTCTAAAGAGAATGATTTTTCCCTATACACCATTGTTTTATCAATGTTTGGATTCAATTGAGTAAAATTGGTGGATTATTTGTACAATTATTTTGAATTGTGATTTGTTTTTGCTCAAGGTTTCATTGGGGGCTATTTTTCCCACCTTTTCTGAATGTGTAAAAAGTCTTATGGAGAGATTGGAGTTCACTTGTTTGCCTGATTTTTTGAGCTTTGTGAGATGCAATGGAGAGGATGGCAGTTGGAATGGGAAGGGATTCTTGAGAGTGAGGAAATGGTCCACTCTGTGGATAGCAAATGGCATTCAACGATCTTAGACAGGAAATGACATTCAACCATTCTTGAGAAAGAGAGAGAGAGAGAGAGAGATTGGTCCTGTCTGTGGACAGAAAATCGTATTAAGTGAAAGCCCACGATCGAGAGAGAGAGGGTTGATAAAGTCATGGTTTTGGTAGAGGCAATCTTTAAAGAGAGGGTTCTTGAGAGTGTGAGAGATAGAGGTTCTATGACTAGGAGAGGAAAGAGAGAGGGAGGTGGCAGCGGAGAGATCCGGCGAAAATTTCTGGCATTAAAAATAAAGATGAAAGCATCCCATATTAGTTAACAACTTTTATTTAGCCTGATAGGTTGTTTTGTCCATAAGTGTTGTGCAGGATAAGGCTTTCCGCCAAACGTGGTGTAACCTAACAAAACGTTTTGAGCCCGTTTGGATACCTGAAAACATATTGTCTGTGAAATATATTACTGACCTAATACATTACCTGTAAATGGATTGTTACTGTTTGGGTAGTATTTAAATGCAACTTGGGAAATACATAGTTATTGTTTGGTTATGTCTAGAAAAAATATAAAAAATGCATTACCAATATTTTACCAGCATGTACCTATAAAATATTATTTCTTTCTTTTTTTGTCACAGAATTTCACTAAAATGTAGAATTATCATTTATTTCTTTTTTGTTACAAAATTCTATTAAAATATGGAATTAAAATCATCATCACACTATTCCATAAAGATTTCTAATAATAACATCATCATCATCATTCCAAAAAGATTTTTTAATAATAACTTGTACCATTTTACAGTCATCATGATACCATTTCCTACTTATTTTACGTGTGTTTGGCACTTACATGGAATCACATGTCTTCTAACATAACATTGATTTCAACATGATAAGTCATTGGAGCAATATGATTGGAATAACATGATTTTATTATGATAAGCCTTATTTTTATTTATTTTTTATAAAAGTCTTTCAAATGTCTCTCTATGTAATTTCAAATAAACAATAAATTTATGACACTAAATTCAAAATCTCTATGCTACGAGTTAAAAAATAGGAAGAAGTTTGACTAGTAAACTAGAAAGTTTGGTAATTGAAGTATAAAATTTTGAGGTATTGGATGGCTACTAATGAGGTATGTTATTTCAATTGAGATTTTAGTAATCTCTTATGAGGATCATGTTGTCTGAAATTTTTTATTATGATTGTGTTGTGTGAAATTTTTTATCATGATTGTGTTATGTAATTTATCATTGATTACCGATTTTTATTTTTATTAATTTTGTTTTTATACTACAGTTGATGCTTTCAGATGAAGGGACGAACTTAAAAAGAGATGGATCACTTATACTAGTTATTATGGAGAGAGAGCGCTTACCAGAGAAGAGTTTTTAATCGGATCACTTATACTAGTTATTAAGAGAAGATTTTTTTAATCGGATCACTTATACTAGTTATTATAGAGAGAACGCTTACCTGAGAAGATTTTTTTTAATCAGAGATAGGGTAGAAAAAATGCACGAATATTTCCTAAAATTACCTATCTCTACCCAAACGACCCTTTTCTAATTAGTCAATGGTAAAATAGAAATGTATAGCAAAAACAAAAGCATTTTTTAACAATAGTAGACAATGACATCATCCACATACTATGTGACATCACCCTCAAGATGCATTAATTGTTTTTAACTACAGGTAGAATGCCATTATTTTCTTATATAAATATCAATTCTACCTTTCTAAATGACCAAAAATGCCCATACTTTTGTATTATGATTCAACGATATCTAAGTGTCTAAAATTATCGAGGACTTTAAAGGTACACACCATCGAGTGGTGTAGCTTAACAAAACCCCATAAGTTAAAGTAACTTCTCATTAATATTCGTCCTTTAGTTGAATTTAATCAATGCACTGTTATATATGGATACGTTCTTTTCTGTATTAGGAAGCTCCTTGCAAAAATTTGGCTCGAAATGCTATACGGATTGCGAGATATTGTTGTGAAAGTGAGCAGAACTCATGGGGACTGATATACATCCCTTGTTGCGAACTTCCAACTTTTTGATTTGCTTAGACCTCGATCCAAGTCGAAGAACCC